CCATATATATATATATATATAAACACACACACACACACACACATATATATATATATATATAGATATAGATATATATATACAGGGATGAATATATACTCAGGGATAAATATATACACACAAGGATGTATCGTTTCTGTTTTTCACATGACACTCTGACAGTGAAAAAAAATAAACTTCCATTTCAGCAAAATCGGTCAGTTTGCTGGCCATATGCACACACATACAAAACACCCTAACCCTAAACCCTAAAACAAAACACCGTACACTCTGTAATATTTTGTGAGAGAGAAATATCGCACACAAGATCAATGATTTCTTTTATGGTGTCTGGCAAACACGTTAGTACAATACGTTTCATATAAAACATTTCAGTAGAATTTCAGTAGTATACACGAACGAATATACTTGAACTGCCTTGCAAGATGCAAACACAGTCACAAGCACAGACAGAGCCATCACACACACACACCTTGTCCATAGCCTCCACAGCCTTCTTGGAAGCGCTCAACTGCGCAGAATTCGACGATTTCATCTGAGGCGATTTTTTAGTCACAGCTGTTGAGGAGAAAGGAGAAGGACTTATTCGACGATACAAGAGAACGTTTGTGTACCTGGTGCAAGCTGCTTTGCACACGTAGGCACAGGCGATGGGAGTAAATGTACGTTTTGGGTTTTCCTAAAACCCTAAAACATAAAACCACAGGTAATGGGAGTGAATGTACGTGTCCCGCCTGTTGAGTGTTGACAGCGGTGTGTAGGTAAGCATGACTAACTCTGACGGCCGCACGCAATGAGGGTTTTGGATAAGTGTTACCGGGAAGGTGCGACGAGGAATATCATAGGCAGTCCTCATAACATACTTGGTGTATAACATACCCATACGTGTACAACATACTTATAAGTGTATAACATACTTATAAGGTTTTAACATACTTTTAAGTTTATAACATACTTTTAAGTTTATAACATACTTATAAGTTTATAGCATACTTTTAAGTTTATAACATACTTATAAGTTTATAACATACTTATAAGTTTATATCATACTTATAAGTGTATAACATACTTTTAAGGATATAACATACTTATAAGTGTATAACATAATTATAAGTGTATATCATACTTCAACTTTTTAACATATCTTTAAGTGAATACCATACTTATAGGGTTTTAACATACATTTAAGTGTATAACATACATTTAAGTGTATAACATACATTTAAGTGTATACCATACTTATAAGTGTATAACATACATACAAGGTTTTAACATACCTATAAGTGTATAACGTACTTATAAGTGTATAACATACCTATAAGTGTATAACATACCTATAAGTGTATAACATCCTTATAGGTGTATAACATCTTTACAAGTGTATAACATATAAGGTTTTAACATACTTATAAGTGTATAGCATACTTATAGGTGTATAACATACCTATAAGTGTATAACATACTTATAAGTGTATAACATACCTATAGGTGTATAACATACCTATAAGTGTATAACATACTTATAAGTTTTTAATATACTTATAAGTGTATAACATACTTTTAAGGATATAACATACTTATAAGTGTATAACATACTTTTAAGGATATAATATACTTATAAGTGTATAACATACTTTTAAGGATATAACATACTTATAAGTTCATAACATACTTATAAGGTTTTAACATAATTATGTGTATATCATACTTCAACTTTTTTAACATATCTTTAAGTGTATACCATACCTATAGGGTTTTAACATACATTTAAGTGTATAACATACATTTAAGTGTATAACATACTTATAAGTGTATAACATACTAAAAAGGTTTTAACATACCTATAAGTGTATAACATACTTACAAGGTTTTAACATACCTATAAGTGTATAACATACTTTAAAGTTTATAACATACTTTTAAGTTCATAACATACTTATAAGTTTATAACATACTCATAAGTTTATAACATACTTATAAGTTTATACCATACTTTTAAGTTATAACATACATGTAAGTTCACAACATACTCATAAGTTTATAACATACTTATAAGTTTATAACATACTTATAAGTTTATAACATACTTTTAAGTTTATAACATACTTATAAGTTTGTAACATACTTATAAGTTTATAACATACTTATAAGTTTATACCATACTTTTAAGTTCATAACATACTTATAAGTTTATAACATACTCATAAGTTTATAGCATACTTATAAGTTTATAACATACTTATAAGTTTATAACATACTTTTAAGTTTATAACATACTTTTAAGTTTATATCTTACTTTTAAGTTTATACCATACTTTTAAGTTTATAACATACTTGTAAGTTCACAACATACTCATAAGTTTATAACATACTTATAAGTTTATAACATACTTATAAGTTTATAACATACTTTTAAGTTTATGACATACTTATAAGTTTGTAACATACTTATAAGTTTATAACATACTTATAAGTTTATACCATACTTTTAAGTTTATAACATACTTTTAAGTTTGTAACATACTTATAAGTTTATAACATACTTATAAGTTTCTTGACATTGAGCATTCGGGAGGACACAGATGTTGAGTGCGCCGACAGTCCCTCTCTGTAGACGCCCAATTGAAGCAACTGCGTATTGAAGAAGAAGAGTTTGTTAAATGATTTTTAGAAGTGTTTTGTAAATGAACTTCAGAAGTGTTATGTAAATGAAATCTTGTACCAATATCAGGGTTTGTGCTTGAAGGCTGATATGATTTTTCACATACGCCGCCAGTAGAGGTTATATGAATTGCTTTGATATCCTGGCCTTTCGCCACTCATGGATGCACACCCTGAACTATTCTCTGCGTTTAATTCATAGAATGCTGGCTTTGGCTATAGGCTATGACTATGCTATCTACAGAAGGTTGTGTATTAAAGCCATTTACAGTTACAACGTAACGTATGCACATATGGGCTGTACAGTTCAGGTTATACTTTTCAGACCATTCCACTGTATGTATTCATCAGTATATTTAGACGTAACGCATGCACATATGGACTGTACAGTTCAGGTTATACTTTTCAGACCATTCATTCCACTGTATGTATTCATCAGTATATTTAAACGTAACGTATGCACATATGGGCTGTACAGTTCAGGTTATACTTTTCAGACCATTCCACTGTATGTATTCATCAGTATATATAAACGTAACGTATGCACATATGGGCTGTACAGTTCAGGTTATACTTTTCAGACCATTCCACTGTATGTATTCATCAGTATATTTAAACGTAACGTATGCACATATGGGCTGTACAGTTCAGGTTATACTTTTCAGACCATTGCACTGTATGTATTCATCAGTATCTTCATCTGTGGTTTTGCCCGAAAGCGTTCATTTCATTAGAGAAGCTGATCACGTACTATAGCTCGTAGTACAAACTATAACACAAAAACGAATGCGTTTTTACACAAAAACGAATACGTTTTCTTCGCCCTCGACAGACACGGCATCAAACACACCTCTGTCTCGAACTGGGTCGCCAAAAGAGCTCTGGAGGCGGTGACGTCACTCTCGTCTGACGTCACACCTCTGTCGTTGGCCACCGGCAGTAATTCATCACGGCCTGTGACAATCGAGTCATGTGGCGCATGAGACAACAGAGCGCATTAGCCAATGCATGGGCACGTGGGCACGTGATCATTTGCACTTGGGGTAGTACCACGACTATCTGACTATGACTCACACACAGCAACAGACTCACACAGAGCTTCAGACTCACACACAGCAACAATGCGCATTAGCCAATGCATGTGCACGTGATCATTTGCACTTGGGGGCAATTATCACTGGAACAAGTCATAAGAAACACAAAACAAATGGCAATTATCACTGAAGCAAGTCATAACAAATACAAAACAAATGGCAATTATCACTGAAGCAATTCGCAACAAACACAAAACAAATGGC